AGCCAGCACAGACCCTTCATACGTCAAAGGGACGAGGGAGGAGGCGGCGGCTCGTCCTCAGGTCTGATCAGCTCTTTAACAGCTGTTGTTTCACTCGTGTGTGTGTGTGTGTGTGTGTGTTGGACAAACAGGATCATGTGCACAGAGCAGATATTTGACTCAAATCTTTTGTACTTGAAAGAAAAATCTTTTGTGTGACTGTAAGAGCAGAAGCGCTGAATCCCTACAGCAGTTCATATGCAGCGGTGTCCAACCTGTCACCTCTATGGTTAAGGTTTGGTCATGGTTAAAGTTCATGTTACAGGATGCAAACTCTCGTCTCCGGCGTCAAAATCCCGTCAGCGACCTGCTCTCCAGGAGAGAAGCTGTGCATGTTTTTGTGCAACGAGAACGGCCATTACTCCCACAGCCACACAGGGTGGCTTATCTGTCAATTGTAGACTCACGCCGTGTCTCAAATTGCGCATTTCCACACACGCACTTGCTATTTTGAGAGCACAAGTTCACTGTCACTGACAAGTACAGCAACATGCACAGGTTAAGTACGCAGAAGGATGAACTCAAAACGGTCTAAAGGTAGAGAGTGAAACGATGGACGCTTCTCACACCTCGACAGTCGCCATCTTGATTACCTAGCGGAAGGGGAGGGGCCACCGATGACACGTGTGTGTACATTTCAAATGCCCGATACATTTAAATGAAGGCAGCCTCTGCCTGTGTTTTCATTTATCCACACTTAAGGAAAAGCCTTTTAGATAATGCACACAGAAACATGGCACATATCCACGGCTGACCGGATCATTTCCATCGAAGCATTCAAAGCTGGCATTAAATGTTGGGAAGCTTCCTCGACCTTTCAGCGTATCCTTTGATTTACTAACTTAGTTTAGACTGAGTTGTACTCAGGCTTGTGCTTGTGTAAAGTTAAGTCATTGTGCAGGTTCCCCTGTGAGGAACTTGGGAACTTTGACTCATTTTGTTAAAGAACAGCTTATTGTTCTGGAGCCTGTGGTGACATTCAGGGATCTGACTAAAACCTGCAGCAGTGTTTCAGAGATAATACAAAGAAAAAAAAAAAACACAACATTAAAAACAGTGAGAGACATGAGTACACACACTCAGGTGCTACACACAGAAACTTTAAGTCTTGTGGGAACTCGTAGCGCTGCCTGTGTCTGCTGAGGCAGCGGTTGCCAAGGTGTTTGATTAGCCTCGTAGCCCTGAGCGGCCTCATCAAACGGCTGTGGAGATAAATGGAGTAATTGGCAAATCACTGGCTGCTCTCTCCCTCTGTGTTTCCTCTCTGACTCTCTCCCCCACACCTACTCCCAGTGGCGTCTTACTGTTGTTAGTCGCCACAACTAGGCTAACTTGTTCTTCTTCTTTTCCTCCCTTCTGTCACGTCTGTATCCAGAGGGCACAACCTGTATATATATGATCGGCTTTTGGATTGTTATTAAATGTATAAAGTAATTAAAAGAAGAATTGGAACAGTCAAAGCTGCTGTCAGTCAGAATCAAACAGCTAAAAAAAACAGCATCGCAAAGTCCAATAAATATGTTGTAACTTGAATTAAATTTTATAAACTCTTTCTGTTGGATCCTTTTAGCTTTAGCAGCGTTGCATTTTGTACAAAAGTTTTATTTGTGTATTTGTATGCAACTTTAATTTGTGTCAGTAAGGAGTCCTTAGCGTGAAAAAGTGTGAGAACCACTGTTTTAAACAACACACAACACTACTCCTTACCCCCCCCCCCCGCCATCTGTGTCTCCCCCTGGTAAGAGGAGCACTTTGCTGAGGTGGGTGACAGTAATGAACTCTGATTCGGTGAGGCTGGAAAGGATGTAAATGAATGTCGACGAGGATGAAGAGTAATTGCTGACACAGAGGGCTGTGAAAGGTGTGTGCGGGAGAACGTCAGAGAGAGAGAGAGAGAGAGAGAGGTCGAGAGAGACTGGGCACCCAAGGGAGCTCTAATGTGGAAAATGTACGGCCCAATCAAGAGGGAGACACTTCAGATATCTGTTTATCTATTAACGAAATTGAATGGATGGACTGATGAATGGGTGGGCGGGTGGATGAGTGATGGTGAATGAAGGCAGATGGGGACATAATGGTGACTGATGGTAGAAAGGAAACAGGAACGGGAGAAAGAAAAGACGTTTTAAGTGTGAGGGAGGAAAGAAAATGAAAGAAATAAAAAAAAAATATATAGAGAGGAAGGGAAATGAAGGAAAAGGATGTAAGAGAACTGATAAAATTAAAAAGGGAATGAACTGTGAATCAAAGACGAGAACTTTAGTGTTAGTAGACTGGTGCTTAATATCGAGCAGCTTCTGTAATATTTCACGTCTTAATTATGCTCACTGCAAGTTATTTTAGTTCCCTTCCTCCTAATTATCCTGCCGTATGAGTGTACGTACAAAATATAAGGAACAAGTGATGATTAAATCTGTCCATGTTGAGCACGGTCAGCAGATTTCTTTAAACCTAATTAACATGGAGAAGTGTTTTTATAACGGCAGTCAAGGTCTCGCGCTGCAGCCATATTTACTTACACTCATCCTGCTGGCCCGATTCAAGCCAATATTTTATACAACAAACTGTTCAAGGGCTCACTAGTTGGAAAAAATGGCTCCTGACCTCCTGATGGGTCAGAGGTTACAAACCCATGTGTTTAAATAATGAATAAAACCTCTAGAACAATCCCATCTGATGGAGACATAAAAACACAGTCTTGGGTTTGAATATTTACAGGTAAACACCATAAAGCCTGAATAAAGAGGCTTAAAGCTCCATATTTTCTTCTTCTTCTGTGTTTTATTTAAAGCGTTGATCGATAAGAAGATATATTTGTGGTTTTAAGAACCAAAAACCATCTCAGTGTAGTTTTACATCTCCTCTCTCAGGCTTCTCTCTGGAGCTCTAGTAACAACAGGTCTGTGAGCCAATCAGAAGAGAGGAGGCTCTGAGCCTCCTCTGTGGGTCAAAATACACTATCATCTTATTTACGTCATAACAAAGGAAACAGCAAAAGACTGTAAAAGATTGTATATGGTGCCAGACCTCCTAACATGTCATGACATGTGTATCCACTGCATCTTACTGAGTAATCAGTGAAAATATTCCTCAGTCCACAGAGAAATGCACACAGCCTGTATTCAGAAACTGAGCCTTAAAACCAGCCGTCAGGACTTCTGGAACTTTGTGATGTCACAACAAAGCAGTCACCAAGCCCCGCCCACCTGGACCCACCATCCAAACCTTGCAGGATTTGGTTTCTCTGAGTGTTTACACAGGACAAGTGTAAAATACAGGACCTTTAGGCTTAAATCTGTCACTTCCTGTGAGCAGACTACATTTCCCATCAGACTTTGCCTCAAAATTTTATAATCTCAGTTGCTACAGGATTGGTTTTGTTATTGTATCCAGATGCTCTGTTCACGCTTGTATTTGACTTTTTCATAGTGAGCGAATTTTGCCGTCACCGTCCCCTCTGTTCACGCAGAGCCGCCCTCACAGGAAATCATCTGTCTCTGCGGCGGCGGCGTCACTCGGAGACCGACCGGCTGCTGCAGTCAGAACAGCTCTGTCACTTCTTATCTCCTGTCATGAGCACAAAACTCATTTGTCTAAGGACTACATGTCACCTTCTCCCTGCTCAGTCCTGTTGGCAAACATGAGCTCTCCACCATCACACACTTTACCGAGCCTGAATTCTCTCTCTCTCCCTCTGAAAAATCCTCTTCATCCTCTCTTGCTAGTTGTCATCTTACTCCTATCAAACACAAGTACTACCAGCACAGATCTGAGCCCTGCTCCCTTCACTACTGCCTGCTTATAATGCTAATATAAGCATTACATTCTTCTACTTTGCATTTATTCTATGTCAGGTTGACACATCACATCAGCTCACTCGCAGTGTGTGTGCAGTGTGTGTGCAGTGTGCACAGTTTCTATTGGAATGGGTAAAGTAACAAATTCCAGTTGGTAAAATGAGTCATAATTAAATTACACTTTCCTGAAGGAAGGAAAAAAAAAGTAAGAACTATATTTATTCATCACCTTTCGAAGAGCAGAGACAGTTACAAAGTGCTTCACACAGGAGATAAAAAAGACACAGCGCAGTAAAAGAAATAAACCAGAATAAAAACTACGCAAAGGAAAATCTAAACAAGTAGTTCTCGAGCTGCTTTTTAAAGGTGTCTACAGATCCTAAATCCCATGGGAGAAAGTTTAGAAGCCACAACCTCAAAGGTCTCCTTCAACTTTGAAGGTCTCATATTCTACACGTCCTGTGTTTTATTTTGAAGTGTTGATCCATAAGAAGATATATCTGTGGTTCATCTCAGTGTAGTTTTACATCTCCTCTCTCAGGCTTCTCTCTGGAGCTCTAGTAACAACAGGTCGGTGAGCCAATCAGAAGAGAGGAGGCTCTGAGCCTCTCTTCTGATTGGCTGACTGAGTGATCTAATAAAAATATAGCAGATTTCAGGTAAAAACACTCAGAGAAACCAAATCCTGCAAGGTTTGGATGGTGGGTCCAGGTGGGCGGGGCTTTGCAATGTTTCTCAGCTGTAAAAAAACAAGAGCGAATCAGATGCTCAGAGATCCGGAGCCTGGTCCAGTGACACCTGGGTTTATAATGGATGATTTGACCGACGAGACCATCCATTATTTTAGGGATAAAACTAGGAGGGCTAGAAATTATTATAGTTTTTATATTAATGATGTTTAGACAGCTAAATAAACCTGCCAGTTTAGATGTTTTGAGGTTTTAAAGAGACAAAGTTAAGGTTTGACCTTTTCACTTCACTACACAAAGCATCTAAAAGATCCTTGTTGCCAACATCACAAACAACCACGACAACAAAGTCACAACAACAGGTGTGTGTAGCTTTGGAGAAACAAACATCCTCTGATCATCAGAGCCCACTTTGATTTCACATGTTGATTCCTGACAAGCAGTCAGACTTTCCGGACTGCAACCGGTCACTCACCCATCACTCTGAGCCTCTCGGCGCCCACCACCACTTCCTGCTCGTCGGCGGAGAAAAGGAGCTTCCCAGAGGTGGATTTGACTTCAAACATCTTGCCTCGTGCTTTAAATCCACTGGATCCTAAACCGAACACACAGAAAGAGAGGAGACATCAAAGAGGAGCGACTCTGAGCCGGAGACGATTTCTTACTGAATTACTCCAGTATTTGAAAATTTAAAATGCAGCCGAGTGGAAGACATGCAAGGAGTTCTGCAGGACCTGCTGACTTTAGCAATAAGATACTTTCATTTTCTCATACTGTCTGTTCTGTTCAGGTGTCACAACCGTCAAAGATGATGATAAGTGTTACCTAAATAAACAAGTGAAGTAATGAACCAGAGAGCAGGTTTGATGTGTCATTGTATTATAGTACAGCGTGACGTACCACAGACTTTGAACTTTAAACAGGAATAAGATGATGAAACGATGAAAACGAGAGTTAGGGTTAGAGAGAGAGAGAGAGAGAGAGAGAGAGAGAGCAGCGACATTGAACGATGCAGAGTCAAGTGGTAACTCTACGAGTGACCCCCTTCTCACACTGCACGTAACCACCTGATGTAAAGACCCTTTTAACAGCAGACACTTTGGTGTCACAGCAGGAAGTAAGGACAACTGGGCTCCATTCAGGGCGAGCCAGATCCAGGGTCCTGGTATTGTGCATGCTGGCTCACTGGCATGGCTTACTGCACCGACGTTAGCCAGCTAACGCCACCAATACACCAAATGTGGTTGAATATACCAAAATGTGGTTGAATATACCAAAAAAAAATTCTCACAGTGATTCTGTTGGTTTCAGTTGGAAATAAGCTGAAAGAAAAAGAGCCGTCTTTTAATTCTGCAGAGTGATGTTTAATGTTCATTTGAAGGTTGAGGTGGTGTAAGGACCAGACTGGGTGTTTTTGCATGTTTTAGTTATACGTTACATCATGTTACTTCCTTTAAGTATAAACATTTGATGAGAAATGAAAGTATCCTGAGGTTATCCATCAGAATAAACTCCACTCCTCTTTATCTTAAAGTTATATTAGTGCAACTAATTCACTGTGTAACAGAACTGTGAGTTTACAGTATATTGACGTGTGGAGGATGTGCAGTTTCAGCTCTGCCAGTCTCTTGGAAACATCAGCACTGTGACAGTTTATGTACCTGCTTTAATTTCACTAAAGTCTGACTGCATCCAGAAAGCTGCCACAGCAAAAAAACAACAACTTTTGAGTGGTTTGTGAAACTATATCGTCCAGATGTGGCCTGCTGGTGAAAGAGGTTTCCATCATGAAGTGAGTGTATATTTCACTGAAAGTCTGCAGGAAACTTGAGGCTGAAGCTGCCAAAACTGTGAACGGTGTCTCGACAAAGACGAAGCAAGAAAATGTAGACAACTCCCTCCAACTCAAATTGCTTTGTCTCACGCGGCGGCAGAAAACACTCAGCGCCGGGGGTGTCTGATTGACACACGCGCAATTGATTCTGTCACTCTGCATCTGCGATGTGAAGTTCCTCCCAACACCAACAGCCGTTTAGTCATCGCATCTGAGATCTGAGAAAGCTCCGTCCTCCTCCTCCTCCTCCTCCTCCTCCTCTTTGGACCCAGAAGGCAAATGTCAGCACACTGTTTAACGTGAGAGACACTTCCTGTGCATGTTTGCACAAAGTGATTTCCAATTCACCAAAGACGGGCCGTCTCTATTACAGTGTGACAGGTGGAAAATGGGGGAATGTAAAGAAGGAAGTGTGACGGCAGAGTTACGGTGGAGCGATTGAGGCCACTACTGCAACAGTTAAAGAAGAATTTATGACGTACTAATGTTTAATCCAGGAAATGAGGTAACGACTTCTGACAGTTAGAGCAGAGTCTGGGTTCTGACATGAATCTCAGGAGTTGCAAAATGACTAAAATGATTGGAAATAACAAATATGCCACATGGGTTATGATTATTTCCTATTACCTTCCTTTAATCTTTGTTTCAACGTGAAGTTCTGAAGACTTTTACCTCATCAGACCTAAAATAACTATTCAAATAAAACAATCTGTAAATAGAAAATCAATGGTTCCAATAAACCTTCAAAGCCTCATCATACTTTAAAAAAAAAAAGGTAAGTGGCAATAAAATCTCTTCACTGACTAATGGAACATAAAAATCCTGCATGCTGTGCATCTGTTGCAGCTGATGTCGTCAGTGTTGTTAGATTTTTGGTTTGATGTTTCGTTTTTGAGAAATGTGTTATATCAAAAAGAAAACATTAATAAAGTACATGAAAGCAGCTTGTGTTCCTTCTTACCTGTGACGAGTTGTGTGAGCAGCTGGTTGTTGCTGCCCATGATGTTGACGGAGACGTTTCTGGACGACTGCAGGAACAGCGGTCGGCCCTGTGGGGAGATGGGCGGGGTTATTCATTTAGTCTGTGGTGCAATGGTCATTAAACTTTTCAAGTTTTTTTATTTATTTATTTATTTTAAGAATAAGTGAAAGTACTGATGAAGACTGTACTTGTCTGTTGAAGACGAAACAAATGTGCACATACAGAATAAACTTCTATATTGTGTCTATAAGGGCTGCGCTGCCCTCGAGTAACCTCACTGACAAAATGTCTAACTGTAACCTAAACCTGACTTTAACCTTAACCTTGACCAGCACAGTGTGTCTTCAAAAGCACTGTTATCGGCTCATGACAGTTCCTGATCTGCCGCCTCTGTGGTTCAAGTCTTGATACATTCAGGCGACTAAGACGACCTGGTTACACTTCGGAAAAGTTTGAAAAGTTACTTAAATACACACACTTCTCTACAAACTACAACCCGGAGACCTGCGGACGTAGCCGTGTTCCACACATGAACGCTAGAAGACAAGATGGCGACTTCATGACGATGCGTTATTGTAGACAACAGAGTAGCGTGTTGCTGCAGACCTGGAGGCTGCAGCTTCAAGACTTTCAGGTCCACATTTCTAGGACCCTAGTTTTCTTTCTGCCACCACACCGGGAACCCAGTTTGTTCTAAACATGCACATCGAGCAACACTAACCAACTCTCTACGTGGCACTGTGGCGAAAAACTTAGTCAGGGTCCTAGAAAAAGGACTGCAGTCCTGAAAGTCCTGAAACTGCAGCCTGCGGAACTGCAGAAACATATTACTGGCAAATAGAAAAGCTCCTTTGTTTGTTGTTGTTTAGTCTGTAGGTCAAAAGAAACCAGGACAGGAACTCATGCCGCAACCGTCCTTTTTGGTCTTTCTGGTCAACAGCAGACTCATCACCTGATTGGCTCCTGTGTTGACTTGGGGGCTGGGCTTATCAGCTGAACCAGCACAGAAGCAGAAGAGCACATAAACACAGAGAAACCTGCATACGAATGTACGACTTCACACTCAAACACACACAATAACTGTCCGAGTGCAGAGGCTTCAGCCTCCCGCTCTGTTTGATAACTCCCATTTTCCAGAGAGCCCCCGCACCAATCTGAAATGCTCATCACGTCGGACACTCAGCTCTTTCTGTGCCCGACTAATCTTCATGCCTCAGTCAACTTCTTAATTAGAGATAACGGCCTGACCATTGTGCTGCGCTCGCAGCCGAGGAGGGATATGCCTTGTGTGTATATTACTGATAACATTATGGCTCTTGCAAAACTTATTGAAGTTCCCACAGTAAATACAGCAAATGTATGATATACAAGCAAGAAGTTATTACAATAACAATGTGCTGTGAGCTGAATGTACAACTAACAGGAAGTTCGACGGGAGCAGATACATGAAAGGTGTTGCCGTGACGACAATCACATCAACATGAACTTTGGCGTCATTTGAGGCTCAGAGTTTATGCAAGAATTTTTTAATTTTTTTTTTTTTTTACAACCAATATGGCCGTTCATTTTCCTGCCACACAGACCAACTACTGGTCATGTGTTACATGGAAGAGAAATTTTCCGACATTTATTCCGAGCAGACTGTGTCTCACACCAGTGCACAATTACAGAGAGGGCCCAGCTTTTTCGAGTGCCGTTGAGTAACAGAGTTGCTGAAAGCCACCCAACTGGGATCCAACTAAAACTTCCTTAACACTACAGTGAAGCACTTTTCTGATAAAGCTCCACTTTAGGGCCAGCAAATAAAAAAAGAGTGTTAAGTGGAAAGCTGCTGAAAACACAGCAGATAGATGAGAAGAAAATAAGTGACCAGGCGCTCAGACAAGCCGAGGCTCTGTGGAAGCTCAGCACTGCTGTAGGCAACGAGAGCTGACGGACGAGCGGCGGCTCGACGGCGCACTGCTGCATCAGAAAACAAGCCCGACTCATATTTCAGAAAGGGTCATTGTTAAAAACTGGAGTCTCTCTTTTTGTTTCACTTGTTTTTGCAGTGATGTTGCAATTATGTGTTTGCTAAGCTTTGTCTTGAACGTAGCCGTCTGCATCGTGGCACATTACAGCCTCATGGCATGTCCCAGTTAATTGTAGCTCTAACAATGTAAACAAATGACACACTGCGCTCTCATTAGCTCTTATTACCTGCAGCTGTGGTTAAATCAATCATACAGAGGAAGCGGAGGTGTGTGTGTTTTTTTTTTTTTTTTTACTGAATTCAGGTTGTATCCGTGAAAAACATGGAAGCTCATCTGTCGATAAAGAAGTAAACACTTAATCTGTCTCCTTTTCACATTAAAGAGCAGCAGCTGTACTTAGAGTCAACAGTCAAGTGTTGGACCAACATTGTCCACACCAAGAAAAATAACCACGACACATTGTTCACATGACATATAACTTGATGTACAGTGTTACACAGACACTGTTTCTGGCCCTGATTCAGCTTTATGATCGTTTTGGAGGATGTTGTTGAAATGTATTGAATTATACAGAGAAGTTATTTGCCCCTGTCGTTTACCCCTCCCATCCTCACTGATGTAAATGAAGTAGACAAAACAACAGAAACAGAAACAGCTGTCAGTGCAACACAATACAACTCAACAGCAGCTGAAACTACAGCCTCTACAGTTGAATCAGCACCTCTCTAAAACAGTTTCACTATAACCTTCATGTAGGAAGATTCACTGCAGGACTGCATTAGTTTGAGCAGGTTGTTCCTAATAAACTGACACCTGAGTGTATCCGCTGTAGTATAATATGGCCTCGCTGATTCAACTGTACTTAAAACTGCTGAAATTAGCCGGGCTCCGAGCTCGATGAGAGGCATGCTGGGTAGACAGGGGGCTGGTAATGTGATGCTACTCGGCTTGTGTAACTGTGACGTGTTGTTGTTCTCCGCAGCATCAGACTTGAGCTTCAAACCCACCACCACAACCACGGAGTAAAGCGTGAATACATTTCACAGCAGCCTCGCTATCGTTCCATCTCTGCTCACGCTGTTTATCCTGCCACAGTTTCTGGAAACGCCTCAGAGAGGATGCTGCAGGTCTCCTCTGGGGCTGTTTGTGTACAGTACATGCGTTTAGTTTGTTGCTGTGTGGCGCTTCTGATCCCGTCTGCCTCTTCCTCACTAATGCAGCAGACCATATTACTCTCGGCAGGAGGCCTCTCACACAGAGAGGAGCAGGGAAAGGGAAAAAAAACGAGAGAGGGGAGTTAGAGGGGAGACGGGGAGACAAGACGTGAGGATCGGAGTTGGTTATAGAAATATTCATTGGAGGCAGAGCTGCTCCAAACGCTCAGAACCCTCCCTGTTTGAATTAAACCTCAGTAAGCTGAGCCAAAGGACCAATTGTCAGCAGCAGAACATCGGCTCTCTCAGAGAATCCAGCCTGGTCTAATCAAAATATATCTATAGCTTAGTGTCCGGGCTCATTTTGTTAAAGGGCACTGGGTAAAGAGGAGGCTCTGAGCCTCTCCTCTGATTGGCTGATTGTTTTCTGAGTGATCCAATAAAAATAAAGCAGATTTCAAGTAAAAAACACTCAGAGAAACCAAATCCTGCAAGGTTTGGATGGTGGGTCCAGGTGGGCGGGGCTTGGTGACTGCTTTGTTGTGACATCACAAAGTTCCAGAAGTCCTGACGGCTGGTTTTAAGGCTCAGTTTCTGAATACAGGCTGTGTGCATTTCTCTGTGGACTGAGGCTTTGATACTTTCACAGTATTAATATAGAAGCTAGAGCTGATCTATAATCACACTACACATGGACACAGACCTTTACACTGGATGGAACTTCAACAGAGGGATAACTGCAGCGCAGCAGGGTTTTCCTCCGTTTAATTTATTCATTTTGTTCCGTCTGTCTCTCCTCTGCTGGACTGACCACTTCCAATCCCATCACCCTCTCCTCTGCATTACTATTCCTCTCACCCTGTCTGCTAAAGCTACCAGCCATCTATCCTGTTTCTGTCCTCTTGTGTTTATATCTCCCTCTGCTCGACTGTTTTGTATCTTGTCTCTCCTCTTGCCTTTTCATTTTTCTATTCTTTTAGTCTTTTTGGTATTCACGTCCATTCTACATCTCTCAACCAGTATTTTCAGGCAAATATTTAGCTTTTACAGTAGTAGGAGAAATCATTTCTATTTCATGAGCAAAGATGAATAAAACAGCCTGCAGCCATCTGCAGTGTGCTCAACATCCTAGCATTATTATTCTGTATTTTTATTTTGTTGATAATCGATGATCATGAATTGGCTCGCACCAAAACACAACCTGTCTAAACGTGGCGCCACAGATCTGCTGTCATCCATAGCTGTCTCTTCGCCACGTGGTGAGACGGGCACTTCATTTTAATATGAATATTTTACCGTGCCATAATATCACACTGCGAACATGTTGTGCTTGTTTGAGTCGGTGCTGAACTTGGCCGCCTCCTGCGCGTCACCGCCTGTCAAAATACGCTCGCTGGCTTCCTATCTCTCTCATTCTAATTCAGTCCTCCTCCATCTGTCTTTCTGTTTCTGTCTCTATTACTGACTTCTTCTCCTCCGCTCTCATCCCTCATCTCCATCCCCCCATCCTCACTGCGCTCTCCTCGCCACCTCGCTCTCTGCGCTCCCATCCCCATCCCTCATCCTCCCTCTCAGCTTGCGTAAGGTCCTAGACAGCAGAGATAAAGCACGCTGCTCTCTTGCATTATCAAGCTATCCGTCCACTACCTGCACACAGCCATTATTACTGCAAGAGTTGAAGAGACAGAGGGGGAGAGAGCGCCTATCACTTTATCGTGCCCATCTCTCCGTTTCTCTGACATCTCCAAGGCTTGGATCCTCCTCCTGTAGTTGTTAGAAGGAAGGCGGGAAGCTCCTCAGAATGTTAATGTGTAAACAGGACCCACCGGGAGACCTCAGACACACTCTGCAGCAGGATCGGTAAACCCCAACGATTCCCTGCGAGAAAACTGATGCTGAAGTTGTGGCTCCGAGCGGCACGCTGGAGATGGCACGTTAATAACGCTGCCAAGGCTGTTGGCTGTTGTGTTCGTTTTGCTTCCCCCACTGAGACCATCTGGTCTGAAACAGGTGCACCGTTGGGGCTATATGGTGTTTGTCATGATGTTGTGTTTTCTTGTCTTGTTATGATAAGACGTGACATGAAATTACATGGCACAACAAGTCTGGTTATGATACAACATGACACATAATGGCATGACAGAATCGTCTCCTCCCGTTTCATCTCGTCTCTGTATGACACGACACCATACAACACAGCTTGGCAAGTCGCAGCAGAGCTGTGTTTTATTCATCCTGATGAGATGTTTTCACATGAAATGATACGTTCCTCTTGTTTTGTCTTGCAATGTTATGACATTTCTAGTTGTGATGATTTCTAAATATTTTATTCATGCCTTGACATTTGTCACACTGTAACTGCAAAATCTTTCCAAAGACCAGATAGTTTTTGATTTCCATAATACCCCCTTTTTAACTTGATGGGCATAGTCACGCTCCTGAGAGGATGAACTGTTTTGATTTTTGATACTGTACGTCATAATCTCAGTGGTAGATTGATATTTTCTGGGCAATTTCATCCTCCAAAAATGTGCCATCCATCCATCTTCTGCTGCTTGTCCAGAGTCGGGTCGCGGTGGCAGCAAGTCAAGCAAGGAACTCCAGACGTTCATCTCCTCAGCAATGTTTTCCACTTCCTCCTGAGGGATCCTGAGTCGAGTCCAGGCCAGAGGAGAAATGTAGTTTCTCCAGCGTGTTCTGGGTCTGACCTCGGGGGAACAAAAGAGCAGCAGCTCTACTCCTACCTCCCTCCAGATGCCTGAGCTCCTCACCCTGTGTACGGCCCAGCCACCTTACAGAGGAAACTCATTTCCGCTTGAGGAGACCCCCAGGGCCAACTAAGCTCCAAAGGCCTCAACCTTCATCTTTATCAGCCTCCGTCACCGCTGGTGTCCATCAGCGTTCCCAGGCCACCCTCATCACATGTTTGGGTTTACCAGGTCTTGTCCGGCAGCCTCCCCCGCCATTTCATCCAACGCTGCACCAGGTCTTTTCATCCGATTGTCCAAGACATACGGCCTCTGATCCGGTGATATGACCACACATTCAGATTCTCCAGCCCTTAGTCCAAGAAGGCTGGACACTCTGAATTGTTGTTTGAACCTATGGTCACAATCTCTGGGAAATGACCATAAAAACAGGACTGCTGACACAAGTGTTTTACTGGACGGGTATTTGGGCTTGGTCTTTGGACCACGGTGGGGCGCTTGGACTACAGCTCAAAAGAATCGCCACCCTGTGGAGATTTCCTGGACATACTCGACTACGAGGAGACACAATAGCAGAGCCAGAGCACACTAGACAGACTGCATATCCTATCTGACCTGGAAACGCTCCAGTATCCCCCCAGGAGGAGGGGATGGAGAATAGTACATTTTGGCTCCTCGGCTCAGTCTGCTGACACTATAACCTGAGCCAAAATATGAAGCAGAGAATGGATGGATGATTTTCGGCTACCCTTGTGAAAAACTTCGGTTTAGTACCTTACCTTCAACAGAATCTGAATTTAATCCTTTTGTTACAGCAACATTTAGACACTTGATGGAATCAGTGCATGTTGTGAACACAGGCAGAGTGTCAGCTCGTGTAGTTTAATGGGGACTGGGTTTTTTTTTTTTGTCCAAGGTGTAAGATGTTGCCTTCAGGACTCTAATTCACGCTGTCACACTCAAAGTCATTAGACACTCATCTCCTCACACCACTGCACTCTCTCACTTCATACTGAGTGTCGTCATTCACACTGTGTCTCGCAGCTCGCTCTATGTTTCGCTGCTGTGGCTCATCAGCACATGAGAAAGAAGAAATACATTTGGAAGTCATTTACACATTTACAGTTTTGTGTTAATTTGGGAAATGTTACATGACACTGCTTCTGTATATAACACTCACACACCGCTAATGTGATGATTACTTATGCTGGTTTTAACTGTGAGTGCAAAGACTGCGTCAGCCGTGCTAAACATGCTAAACTCCAAACACAAACTGACGAGAGTCAGAGTGGAAACATCACAAATGTTATGCCGTGTAAACTCTGCTGGTCACATTCTTTTCTAATGTGTGTCTGTCTCAAATGAAAAAAATAGCAGGGGTGTGTAGTTGTGAGTGTGTCTTTCCGTGTGTGACTCACCGGTTTGGACTGGATTTCTTTGGCATAGAGGGGTTGGAGGAACTCAGAGTCCCCCTCCAGTTTCAGGCCCTTCTCTGTTATTCTGAGGTTGCCCATGCCGTCCTGCGAGGAACAAAGACACAGTCATGATTAGTTCATACTCTCCTCTCTTTTCAGGGACCATCGCCATCCGTATACGGTTAACACAAATCACTGATTCCAACACCATCGTAGGATTTGTATCTTTCAATAAGATGTTGGAAACTTTCCTTTGCACATTCTGCACTCACTGTCATGTTCATGAAACCAGTTTAGAGACGACTTCAGCTTTGTGACACGGAGCATTATCCTGCTGGAAGTAGCCATTAGAAGATGGTAAACTCAGCAACAACCAGTCCAGCCGTTCTCCTCTGACGCTAGAGACTGTGTGAAAATCTCAGGGAATGCTTTACATTAAGAAGCTCCTGACCTGGATCTGCAATGGTTTGATGCCACGTGATTGGCTGATTGGATAATTGCATGACTAAGCAGGTGTACAGACGTTCCTAACAAAGTGCTCAGTGAGAGTTTGGCCCATTTCCAATCCGGCCTCTACACCCTCCCCTTTACCCACTCTCACTCCGTTTGCACATTTGCATGGAGGGTCCAACACATTAAGTGTCGTTCCAAACTAATGACCCTTAAGTGGGAGAGGGTTACAAAGCCCTCCGACACCGGAGATCACAAACCAGACTCCCAGACCAGTGCAGCATCACTTTGAGTCTGAGTGCCAACTAATGTGAGTTCTGTGTATTTATTTTCAAAGGGTAAGTCATATGATAAAGTCTACATGGGACTTTTCTTATTTGACTCATTTGGAAAAACAAAAACAAAACGAAAAGATGTTAAACAAAAAAGACGCACAGGAGTGAGTTTTTATTTATTTAATTAATCACTTCATTTCACAAGTTATGTAACTATGTAACGAGTGGTTTCTAACACCTACATATTTGTCAATGCTGTGTATAATACCACTTTTACATAAATAACGATTAAATTACAATATCTTTCTGAACTATTTTAGGTAACAATTAATTTCCTGTTTCCATAGTAGAAATGCAAGTGGCGTCCCAAAGCTTGCTGGTGTATTTATACCCCCCCCCCTTCATGAACAGACCCAGGAAGTCCTGCTGTTTGGAGAACAAACTGAAGGTGAATTTAAGTGAAGCTTGACTTATATTTTCCAGATTTTTTTTGTTCTATTTTTAAGACCAACATCAACATGAAGAATGAGTCAGTGCAGAGCTGCTGGGCAAGCCAAGACTCTTCACTCTCGCTTCGTGTATTTCCTGCCAATATGATGCGCAGCCATGAACATGACTCGCTGGCTGTGTCCAACACCTGCCAGTTTATTCCTGACACCAGCAGGTCGATAACAAACACCTGTTATTTATCGATGTGGCGAGTCGGCTGCGTGGGGGAAACATTAAACTTATAATCACGCACATCCGACGGCGTGAGGAAGATGTTACTGTGCTACCAGGTAGAAACTGTGAACACACTCCGTATTACACTCATTAAACCGTCTCCCTCGTTAATCAGCCGCCTTAATCTCTTAATCTTTTTTAATGCGGTGATGGTGGTGGATACTTGACTTCAGCATTAGTATTACAAACCGATTCATTAGCAAGCATGGCGTACATGTTGCATATACAAACAGGAACAATTTTTTTTAAATCGTGAAATACAAAAGAATATGTTGTAGAAAAATTTAAAGATTGATCAATATGCTGCATATTCAGTGTATCTGCAAACTGTGAGCAATGTTTCCATATCAGAGGAGGAACTTTGTGCAAGACTGTGGCTTAATTGTTCAGTGTAATCGTCTCAGCTGAAACAAAACAAATAGTTTTGCAGAGGTGGTTCGAGATGTGATGTGATTTAATTTGCAGGAGATTTCTATCATCTAGTTATGAAGAAGTTAATTCACCTCAATGACCCGAGTTTTATTTTCAGAGTCTTTATGGTAGAAATAACTTATAGCTTCAGCAAGTCATGAGTTAGCTCGTCCACACTTTGTTCTCGGTGTTGTTTACTTTCCCAGACAAGGGACCTGAAGGATCATTTTAGTTTCTGTCTGTGGAGGCCGAGGTCATTTAAACACAGCGAAGCACCAAATGCTTTTGCACGCCGTGTTTTGGTAAATGAAGTTAGTTATTTTAAGGTGACAGCAGGTAATGAATATTATTTCATAAAAAACTGAGGCAAATACATGAAGTGCTGCAGCAGCCCAGAGGCCTGTAAAAGAGCATTTGTGTGACAATCTGTAGTAAAGAGCAAACCAGAGATGCTTCCCTTTACTTCACCAAAAAGACCCCCCTCCCCCCCTGCCCCCCCCCCCCCCCAACATCATCTTATAAAAACAAGACTTGGCAGTCAGTCAGAGGTATTGCAGCAGTGTTACAGCTGCTTCCATTGTCTCAGTGTGTACAGCTGAACAGCAACAGACCAGCAGATATCAACGGGGGATGATAAGAGGAGATTTAGCGAGAGGAGACTGGCTCAGGGGCCGCTTTGATTCAGACACGACTGGCGAGGCTGACGCTTCACTTTCCATCCGATCATTATATATATTATATGAGATCACCTGCTGGATTGTTTCAAAAGATAAGAGGCACCAGCGCGATAGAAGAGTAAGAGAGAGAGAGAGAGAGAGAGAGAAGCCAGCTATCTGCCTATGTGATCTTCTCCCGCAAAGACTTTGTTGTTTTCCCGCCGTCTTTTTGATCCCCCAGGTTCTGACGAGCAAATGGAGATCAAGACACCTTGAAATCCCAAAGTAACTGAGGATGGTTTTCAAGCCTCCTCCATGTAATCCCCCCGCCTCCGCCCCCCCACTGTGTAAAACATATTAAAATTCTGGCACTGTTGTGGCAATGAGAAGGTGGGGTGGAGGGTGAGTCCTGGATGTGTTGTGATTGTGAATTTTCTCCCGGGTGGAAATCAGCAGGCCTGTCAGAGGACGTTACTTAAAGCCAATATCCGACATTTTTATGACGAAAACCGTCTGTAAGAAAGGAGATGTCTGTTTCCCTGCATGGAGCAGAATATTCTTAAACGCAGACCCTCGTAGACAGACTGATCCCTATCAGATACACGTGGTCCCTCTTCACGCAGACACTCTATACAGTGATTCCTCCCGCCGGCTACTTCATATCTCAGTGTGGATTATCACTGAGGATGCATAATAGCCCCAAAATAATGTTTTGCCTCTGTCTGTATCTCTGCCTCTCCATTTCACACATGGAGATAAGTCATAACACACACTTACAAAGAAGTGAAGTTCACAAAATCAGCTCATGTTGACTCTTCAAATGTTGCCTTCAATTTCTTCTTGTCCGTAAAGAAAATAACTGACAGCAGCACAAGTGTTATAATGGAATAATAAGATTCCAATAATGGAGACGTTTAAGTTTTAAGAGCAGTCTCTCTAACGGCCACACTGGTGCCAGTGGAGTGGCGGTTTGCCTCCGGCTCTGGCTGTTGCCGAGGCATGAGGCATGAAAATATATATGATTTTGGACACAGTTTTGGTTCGACTGTTTCCAGGCCACAGAGAGACATGAGGAGACTTGGCGTGGCTGTTTCAGCACCACGGACAGAGACACACTGTGATAACGGAGACTGTGGAGCTGCATCCGAAATCACAACCTGTTTACTGTATCATGCTTCTACACTACATCGCCTTTTTATTTGAGTGTCTGGATTCTGAGCAAAATGTTCTCACTGTAGAACAAAAAGAACCGTGTCCAGCGACGCTCCACACATGTCAGTGATGACGCAAACTGACGATGATTCAGAAGTGTCTCAATTTTCAGCCCCACTACAGAGACTGATGAACACGGGGGGAGTGAATGGGTGAATGAGTGAGTGAATGGGGGGAGGGGTGATTTTGCTCACAGCCTGGGTTTGAATGAGTCAGCAGCTGGGACTGAGTATAGCGAAGCAGATTGTTTGTCTCTTGCCGCCACAAGCAGTAATGACAGGACTAGTGAGAATGATCGGAACATTTATTAACACTTATGTTCTTTCATCCTTATTCCAGGAAAATCGGTAACATTAAATCACACAAAAACTGTCTATCATGTTCTTCATGTTTTTGTGATTATTTTTTCGATGAAATGAAAGGTAAAAAGGGAAATCCGGCAATTAATAGCAGCGGGTGCAAGCACACAATCCATTAACTAATAAAGTCACAATATCACTGCAAAACTGCGATGAGAAATCATCTACACTGTTCGCACTTTCTCCTCTAGTCAAAATTTCTTCTTCTTATTCTCTGCAATGAGCATCATGCAGCAGCCGGCACAGCGAAGCGAGGCGAGCAGCCATGAATAATTCAGGACAGCTCTTACCAGGACGGAGGCCTCTGAACACTCAGGTGTGCCTCCTTACCTCTCCCTCCCCCTGTCCTCTCCTCCTGCTCCTCCTCTTCACCCTTTGTCTTTAATCTTCTTAAAACCCTCTCCCTTGTTTGGGTCGCTCTCGCTGATCATCCTGTTTGTCAGCTTTAGATTAAATTTATCTCATTCTCCTTTCTTTCTGTCTTTTCTCATTTTTCAACCCTCCTTTGATTTCTCTCACTCTTTCCCTCTTGTCGCCTGTTTTTCCTCTGACCTATCTCTCCTCCTCTGTCCCTCCATCCACCCCCTTTTACTGTGTCGCTTCATTCCCTCAAGGTGTTTCGAATCAAGTGGCATGAAATTCAAAATAACTTGCTGTCAGAGCAAAATGACAAATAGCAGATGATGGCATGATTCGGACGCCAGCCATCACAACAACACTAACATTCAATAACACCACTCAGTCACTAATACAGACACAACATGCACATTTGTACCCATAAGTGGCCGCGTCTACTGATGTTTGACCTTTAGTCAAATGAGTTAATGCATGTCAACAACTGTTGGCCGGACGAACATCAAGTCTGGCAGGAACAGTGTTTATGTCACTCGGAGAATAATAATTCCTAAATATTTTATTCATGCTCTGACCTTTTTTCAAGGCACAACTTCACATTTAGGGCGAGTAAAGTAAAAGTACACAACGACTATTTCATTAGGTCAGAAAGTTTGTGAAGCAAC